TCTCTCTCTCTCTCTCTCTCTCTCTCTCTCTCTCTCTCTCTCTCTCTACTTCTCTTTACTTCTGCTCTATCTCGATCTCTGCTTCTCTTCAGTGTCGGCCAGCAAGACTGTGTTCTCCTCTCTTGCCGAGATCTTCCTCTCGACCGCCGACTACTACTTGTCACCGTCGCCGGACCTGTCTCCCTCTCTACTTCACCACCACCACATGACACCACCACCACCACCACCATCGCTGCTTCTCTGGTGACGTAACGTTGATCGTGCACTACCTCAACTTTGCCCTCCTCCTCCTTCTCATCGGCACCAGCATCGTCCATTTCGCCGGTGTGCGACACTGCATAGTGCATCGTATCGCAAAGTGGATCGGAAAATCGGCAACGACAGCGGCACCACCTGCGACACCATCACCAGCAAAGTGATGAGTCAATCAACAGCAGCAGCAGCAGCAGTGAACACAACAAGCAAGTGATTCAGAGTGCCTTCAGGTGCACCACTCAAACGGTGATTACCAACTCCATCGCCAACAGTAGCCGGTTGAAAGAACTGTAGGATCTTCAGTGGCACTTCACAGCAGTCACAGCAAGTGTCCTCGCCCAGTGTGTGGAGTGCTGTGCGTGTCTGTTGTCACCATCAGTGTTGGCCAGTTCGTTATTGTTATTATCGTCGTCCGATCGCGCCCATGGGCTGCAATCCACAATAGACAGGCAGAGTCAGTCAGAAGAGTGTGCTGTGCCAGTGCTTGGGTTGCCAGTGAAAAAGGCACTATCAACTCTGATTCTGTTGTCGCCTGGTCGCGGTGTTAGTAACGATTGCCGCAGAGGGAAAGAGAGTGTGTTCCCCTCAGCCTAAATATAAAGAAGAAGGCTAACCAGAGTCTCACCGACGTCGTCGTCGTCGCCGCCAGCAATCGCTGCCACAGACTGCTGCCGTTGTACAGCCACCCGGCAACCAATCACCATACAAAAAGATTTAACTGTTCCCTTGTTGTTGACTTGTTTGCTATCTCTGCCAATGTCCGCTGCTGTCTCTGTTTGTTGCACTTGCCCCACTGCATTGTGATCAAGCTCTAGCAAGTAGTAGCTAGCGGTGGCAATGGTGGTTGTGCTGTGGTAGAGCGGCGGAAAGAAAAATTGCCACAAATCCTACTGCACGCCCTAGACGCCGACAATCCTCCAATCAGCCATTACTCACTTCTCCTAAACTCTACATTGCTCCTTCTTCCCCTAGACGTATCATCCACCTTACCCCGCCACCATCACCACCATCACCATCATCAGCATCATCAATACCACCATCAATTTTCGGCAGTATATACTTCACGCAACCATAAAACACCATACTCGATGAGTGAAATTCATTCTTTTGGCGTAGAGCCAATCACCAGTCACGCATTCAATGCATCGAAAGACAGTAAGCGCCGGACCTCGGTTCCAGCTGACCAGTTTCATCTGCAATTAACCATCTGCATTTTACCCTCTGTAGAATTGGCCATCTCGCCTAATAATAATGAGGTGCACATTTACCATAAACAAAATGGCAAGTGGTCGCTCAACTCTACGCTCAGTCAACATGACCTACGTGTGACCAGCATAGATTGGGCGAAGAATACAAATCGTATTGTCACCTGCTCAGCGGTATGTTGTTGTTTTCGTCAGTATATATCATGTCAATCATTGATGATCATTCTTTGCTTTGTGAACTAGGATCGAAATGCCTACGTCTGGTCGTTAATAGACGGGACATGGAAGCCGACGCTTGTACTGCTGCGCATCAATCGAGCCGCCACCTGTGTACGCTGGTCTCCGAGGGAGGACAAGTTTGCCGTGGGTTGTGGCGCGAAGCTCATCTCGGTGTGTTACTTTGAGGAGCAGAATGACTGGTGGGTGAGCAAGCACGTGAAGAAGCCAATCCGCTCAACGGTGACCAGCATTGACTGGCACCCAAATAACATTCTCCTCGCCTGCGGCTCAACGGACTTTCGAGCTCGCATCTTCAGCGCCTACATCAAAGAGGTGGACAAGAAGAACAAGGAGGAGGGCAACACTTCGTGGGGCGGCAAAATTGAAACTTCCGGCTCGTTGATTGCCGAATTTCCCTCTTCTCAGGGCGGAGGTTGGTGATGTCACTTTGGTTGGTGCTGTCTAATTGACTAACTGGTCTGTTTTGTAGGTGGATGGGTTCACAGTGTTGCCTTCTCTCCTGACGGAACCCGACTGGCTTGGGTGTCGCACGATTCCAGTATTTCCATAGTCGACTCGAGAAAGAGCATGCACCCAATCAATGTACGGACCAGGTTTCTGCCCTTTTTGTCCTGCATTTGGTCGTCCAACAATCTCGTTATTGCTGCGGTAAGCTTCGGAATTTGCCTTTCACTTATTCAAAAGCTAATCACCATCTTTGTGTTTTGCAGGGCCATGACTGTTGTCCAATGTTATATTACTACGATGACTATAGCGGCGAAATTCGGTTTATTGATAAAGTTGACAAGTCACAAAAGAAAGAAACGGACGGATTTAGGTGAGTTTTGCCCCGGTGAATTGATTTTGAACTAACTGGACTTTTTTTGCTGCTGTAGTGCTATGCGAAAGTTCCGTGATTTGGACAAGCGAGCTATTGTGGAGAGCACAGTTTCAAACACTGCGCTGGACACGATTCACCAAAACACCATCTCGGAGATTAGATTGTTTGATCAGAAACAGGCAAAGGCAGACAAGATTACTTCAGTCGGCGTAGATGGCCAAATGGTGATCTGGGATTTGAAGGTAAGTGACTGTCGACTGAATGGTGAAACCTGACAGATAACTGATCATTGCTTTTACCTTCAGACACTAGAATCATCTCTTGCAAATCTGCAAATCAAATAAAAGACATGCTTGTGTTTAAAACTGAAGATTCGGTGTTCTCCATGTACAAATTGCGCACGAATCATGTGATTGTTTTTATCTCTGTTCTTTGCTCTTTCTCTCTCTCTCTCTCTTTCTCTCTCGCTGACCTCTCCGACTTTTCCTTCTTCGTCTTCAACGCCATTGTTACCTGCTGTACAACACATTTACTTTGAAATTCGNAAGACATGCTTGTGTTTAAAACTGAAGATTCGGTGTTCTCCATGTACAAATTGCGCACGAATCATGTGATTGTTTTTATCTCTGTTCTTTGCTCTTTCTCTCTCTCTCTCTCTCTTTCTCTCTCGCTGACCTCTCCGACTTTTCTTTCTTCGTCTTCAACGCCATTGTTACCTGCTGTACAACACAGTTACTTTGAAATTCGCCCCCAGCCACCTTTTAGCTCTGTTATTGCTTGTCTCCGACTGTTTAATTTATTGCCCCCTTCTCTATCAACAAAAGCATAGCCTCTACTGTGTAGAAAAAAGATTCTCTATTCTGTCAGGTGTTGATTTCACTACATTTTTTCGGTTCAATAGTGCCTTCTTTTATTATTCTTTGTGCAGAGGGTGGTGGTGTCTTTTTCTTGCGCCCTTTTTTCACCACCGCAATCACCACCTAACGACGTTGTAAAGTGTAATCTGCTTCTCCTTCTGCTTATTTCAGCCAGTCATTTGTGTGTGTCATTGAGGATGTAATAAAGCAATAAAAAACGTGAAAGTACAAATTACCGGTCTTCCAATGGGATTCTGTTAGGCGCCCTCCTGGTGGCCGATATTCCTGTCCCACAGATGGCAGGGTGGGTGATGTTTTTGTTTGCATTTGTTTTCGCTTGTTTTGTTTTTCTTCGCCCAGCACTTCATGCTCTCCTTTTCGCATCTTCGCGTTCAGTATCGTTTTTGACAGCTTGTCATACGGATCATGGAGGCTGATTTAGTTTACAGTGATCTCGATGAGGACTCTTTCCAAGCCATATTGGTCGTCAGTGCCAGTGCTGAGCTCACTTCTGATGAGTGGCTGAAGCGTAAGTCCCCTACTAAGCTAGTGCTGTCACTTGGGCGTTCTCTCCAGTCTTCAATGTCAAGTTTTCCTTTCCTTCCTTTCAGAAATCTTCGACAACACTCCACTGAAAAGGTCGGTGAAGGTGCTGAAGTTTGATGTGGAGCCGTTCTGTAGCAGTCTGCAGTGCAATAGCACCGAGCTGGAGAACAAGTACTACACCACCCAGATCTATCTAGTCTCGCTGGAGGATGTAGTGAACTTTCCGGAGGCTTTCTACGACTTCTTCCACGGTGTGCTTCTCTACTTTGACAACAACGAGGCGAATGGCCTGAAGGATGTGGACAAGTGGGTTGACTACATTGACATGATGGAAAACTGCACCATCAAGATTCTCGCCTGTGATTCGGCCACGCCAACTAATCGTGAGTTGAAGAGTCCTATGATTTAATGTTTCTGTAACTGTAATTTTTCTCTTTCAGTCATCTCTCGAATTAACGTTCACTCGTACTGTATCGAGAAAGGTTTTGAGTTGGTGGAGTTGCACCCTGCAGTGGAACCGCCTCATGAGGACGACTTGGAGGATGACTTTAAAGAGTCCAATAGCTTTGAGCGAATTTACCAAGCAATTCAAGCCTACGTATGGCCCAATTTGAACTACAAGCGTAAGTAAAAGTTTTTTGCATTGGTTATCTAATGACTTTTCATTTGTATAGAAAAAGGTACCGACGTGTCAGAGTACATCTCTCGAACCAATGATGCCATGATCAAGAAGTTTGGTCACATCAACTTTGAGGAGTTGCCGCCTACTGATGAGAACTCCCCCCAACCAAAGCGAAAGTCTGAAGAAGATGCGAGCAAATCATCCGATACGGCTACTGAAGCTGTCACCGAGCAGCAGGCAGAGTCCTTTGAGAGCCTTTTTGGACGGTTCTCTGAGATTAAAGGTAATTTCAACTAAAAAGTGGTCTTTTGTTTTAATTGCTTGCCCATAGAAACAGCCTCCAAGTTGAAAGATGACGAGCGTAAGCGGTACGCCGAGGAGGTGGCTATGGCCTTCCTGGCATCTGTCAGCGATGACAAGGACGAGCTGTCTGGTTTCTCCAGTGAAGAAGAAGCCGAACCAAACCACGTCTACATTTAATCAGCAGTTCGTTCAGTCAGCTCATTAGTAACTGTTTTTTCAATCTCTCCGACGTCATCACACAGTCAGGCAGATCAAGTTTTTCTTTTTTCTTGTTTTCCAGTCACCTATTCACTGTTTTCCCCTCCTTTTTCCAATGGCTTGGTTAATGTTTTTCTTTCACCAACAATAATGTTGTTTTAACAGTTCTTCTGTTTACACAAGCAAGCGTTTGTGACGATTTGAAAGTTGACAATTGATTAATTATTTAATTAGATAGATTTTGGGTTGCTGACGGGTGGTGGTAATGGTGGTTCACTGCAAGGTGTGTTTGGATGGTTTGGCAAATGAGTAAATGGTTGCGTAATTGGACGATGATTTTTGCCACAGCAAAGCAAAAATTAGCAGGTATTGCCTGCCCAGTCAGTGAATTTATAATAATGTGGTTTCATTCACCAAAAAGACGGCTTCTTCGGCTTTTTCAGTTGCATCAAATTGCAATTATAAATAAATTAACATTTTTGCATTTATTTATTTTTTGTTTATTTGTCGTCTCTGTTCATCCTTCGGACACTTGTAAGAAGGATGGACTTGGCAATTAACGCAAATCTTTTACACTCTAATTGTCCTCTTTGTATTTTATCAGTTAGTAAGCGATAGCAAAAAATTGTTTCAATGTATAAGTATTATCGCCCTGTTCGATCGGAGAAAGGTCGATTGTCGGACACCTGTCGACGCCCGAAAGAAGGCGGCTTGTGAGGGGAACAGGCAGCGGTAGTGAAAGATGGACTTGCTTAAAAACAAGATAGGCAAAAGAGCCAATCCAAGCAGCAGTCAGTTGACTAAATCTCTTTTTGATTGGCACCCTCAACCACGCTTGTCAAGGTTGTCCAGTGTAATAATTGCATTTTATATTGAAGATAAGAAGTGCTCAGGTCGGCAGATATAAGAAGCAGCCAGTGAGACTAATAGTTTAATAAGTTTATCATCGACAATAATTAATAAAACACAATGGAGTACTGGAGTTTCTTAGTTCTTCTTCAGTTCATTCCACTAGTTGGATTTCTGTACTTGTGAGTTGTATTTTGTTGACAGAAAAACTTTATTTGCTAAATCTTTCTTCTCTTTAGCTACATAAACCGGAAGTTCAGCTTCTGGAGCAGTCGTGGCATTTCTGGTCCTAAGCCATCCCTGCTCTCCTTAGGCAACGTCCTTCAGATTGCCGGCAATCCGCCACCGAGCATTGAGCTTGAGCTGCTGCGCAAGTATGGCCCTGTTTACGGCAATTATCAAGGTAAAAATTGCATCAAATTGCAATTATAAACAAATTAAATTATTTTTTGTTGTAGGCCTTTTGCCGACGCTAACAGTCATTGACGCAAACATCATCAAGCAGATTCTAGTGAAAGATTTTCCGAGCTGGGTCAACAGAAGGAAACTGAATGGCTATCATGAGATGAACAATAACCACCAGTTTAATGCAGAGGGAAACCAGTGGAAGCGACTTAGAACTATTACTGGTAAGTTCAGTGACAGTTAGTGTTGTAAATGTACTAAAACACCGCCTTTTGTCCGCGATTACCACAGGAAAGACCTTCACCTCTGGTAAACTCCGGTCCATGTACGACATCATGGATCGGTGCATTGACCGACTGATCGATGAACTGGAGGTGATTGCCAGCACAAGGGGAGGACTGCTCAACACCAAAGAGGTAGTTGCAGGATTTACCATAGACGTTATCGCGTCGACTTCGTTTGCGACTGAGACAAAGTCAGGACGGACAAAGGGCAGCAGTCCACCCAAACCGAGCCCCTTTGTAGAGAACGCAATTAAACTGTTCAACATTCGAAATCCACTTCCAGTGCTGTCGTTCTTGGCAATGCCTCGTTGGTTTAATGATCTCATCGGTGTGAAGCTTCCCATCGATCCAAAGTCATTTGAATTTTTCGTCGACCTGACGACGGAGGTTTTGAAACAGCGAAAGTCTGGAGGCTCTGCAGGAAGAAAGGGAGACCTCGTTCAGCTATTGATTGAATCGTATGCTTATGATGCAGAGATTGCCGATGATGGAAACTACGATCAACTAACGGCCAGCGGCGGATTTGAAGGTAGGTGGTGATTATGAGTTCAGTGGACAGCTTGATAACACTGCTTCATTGTTTCAGAAACCACCGAAGCAAAGTCTAACGGAGCACCTGCCAATGGTGTGAATCGTCCCAAGACAAAATTGTCCGATCGGGACATCATCGCACAATGTGTCCTGTTCCTCATTGCCGGCTTCGAGACCACTCAGGCTACCATCTCAAATATGTTTTATGAACTTGCAATCAATCCCGAAGTGCAGGAACGTCTTCGCACGGAAATAGCCGAAGCAGTGGACGGTCTGCCCGTCGGTGGTGACGCCTACAATGAGGCGGTGATGACCGGTATCCCCTACCTGGAGGCGGTCATCAAGGAAACGCTGAGAAAGTATCCGCCTGTTGTTCGACTTGAGCGTCGACTGGTGGATGAGAAGTACGCGCTAAAGCTGCCCAACAGAGATGAGCCGCTGACGCTGAAGAAGGACCAGCTGATTGAGATCAGCACCGTGGCTGTCCACTACAACCCTGAATACTACTCGGATCCGGAGGCCTTCAACCCGGAGCGGTTCATGCCCGAGAACAAGCACCTTCTGGTGCCGTACACCTATTTGCCCTTCGGAGATGGTAATTCTTCTTCAAATAATTTATTATCAGTAGTTTCAATTGTTATAAACTTGTTCTTTTATTTTAGGGCCAAGGAATTGGTAAAATTAGAGATATAAATTTCTATCTCGATTTTAAAATGTACTTAAAACTTTTTTACAGTGTTGGCATGCGATTCGCCTACCAGGAGATCAAGTTGTGTCTGTCAAAGGTACTGACGCACATTAGAATTTCCAGGGCCCCAACGACTCCGGAGAAACCTCAGTTTGCGGCCTACAAGCCAATCCTCTTTGTGAAGCCCTTCCAGGTGAAGGTAGAGAAACTGTAGTATATTGATAATTGATATTGGTAATTGGTATCAGTTCAATTTGCCATGAGCGCACAGGAGAAACAAAAACTTTTAAAATATTTAAAATAAGTGAAGCTTAACGGTAAAAACTTGTCTGTTTTTTTGTGGATATATAAATGTGCTTTAGATTTGTGGTACTTTTAGTTATAGAAGTTCAACATCCATTTTTCAGTATTAGAAATAGTTTCCTCCGAGCAAAATTCAGAAGCCTGTAAAAAAGTTATTAGATAAGAAGTTTAGAAAACTTTGTTCAATGTATTCGTACATTAAGCAGGATGATCTTATCTCCCAAAATCAGTTGCTCCTTGCCCATTGCATTCATTAAATACATCTTGATGAGAGAGAAGATTCGGTAAATCAATCCAATAGTGGAGATGATCAAGAAAAAAAAGTACGCGACCCAAAACACCAAGAAAAATAACTGATGAAAAATATTAGCTATCAGCAGGCAAAATGTGTCATTGTGCTCCAGTTTTCCTGAGTAAGCGTAGTTAGAGATTGAGCATTTGGCCGACAATGGGAATGCCTGTTCAGATTATCAGGGACAAAAGTTATTCACAATGATTGCCCTCTCTTCAACTTTTCACTCACCTCCAGCAATGGATCATTAATGAAGTGATTGCTTTTAAGGATGTGGTACTGAAAGGCATTCCATCCGTACAGCCAGAAACGTCCATCAGTGTAGCTGTCCATGATGAGTATTGAGTTGTAAATGGCGGCAATAGGGATCACACTGAAGAGTAGATGAACGATGACCAGTGTTGCCATGGAAAGGCGGTTGTTGAGAATTGAGACAATGACACGACGCAGCGACACCATTTGCACTGCAAAGTGGTCGTCATCAGTGAAATCTTTGGTGAAGGTAGCTTTTGTGTGCATCTTAAGAACGTAGCAGATGATGTTGACTGAGCCAACGATAGCAAGCTGAAAAGGATCAAGTGTTTAGTATTGAGAATTGACACAATGACCAACTGCCATACCTGAATGAACAAAAGTCGTTTGAAGTAGGTGTACTTCCACAGGCGCTCAGGTTCCTCCTGGAGTGAGCATCGCTCAGTGTAGCCCTCTTCCATTCGCGGAATGGTGAGCAGTCCATCGCAAGTGTAGCGAAAGGTGCCATTGAGGTAGCAAAGCTTGTTAGTGAGTTTGAGTNGAACAAAAGTCGTTTGAAGTAGGTGTACTTCCACAGGCGCTCAGGTTCCTCCTGGAGTGAGCATCGCTCAGTGTAGCCCTCTTCCATTCGCGGAATGGTGAGCAGTCCATCGCAAGTGTAGCGAAAGGTGCCATTGAGGTAGCAAAGCTTGTTAGTGAGTTTTTGCTTGTAAGGTTCTATGAGGCCATCAGAATTACATTTGATACTGTGTGAAAAACCCAAAATGAAGAGGTACGAAATTAGAGCAATCAGATGAAGTCGGCTTCCCCAATGGCGGTACAGCCAGGTGGACCAGGACTCGTAACTACATCGGCTCAAGACAACTGATTTTGAGCTTTTGAGCACTTTCGAAATGTTTTTTATTTTCTCCAAATTCTCGTTTTCCAGAAGGGTTTTGAATTTTGAGCCCATGATGTGAGGTGACGCTGCTCAGGCAGACTGTCGGGTGAGTTGAGATGAGCGAACTAAGGACAAACAGAGAAAGGTTTAGTGAGTGGGTAATGGAACTGCCTACGGGAGAAAGTGGCAGCTGATGAAAGTGTCTTGTGGATACGGCGTGCTCGCGGAGGATAGCGGAGAATGCTCAGGCATGAAAGAAGATCAACCAGCGACTGACAGTGAACAAGGCCACTGTCTGGTGAGTCATTTCTCTGTTTCCCCTCATCTGTTCAGTGCAATCTTGCGCACTCTGCACAACCAGAAATGCTCACTGAAACACTGCTGTGCATTTTTCTCTCCCTCTTCTGTTTGGTTGCAAGTTGAAACCGTTCAAAGCCACCTGTTGTTTGTGTGAGCAGTGAGGATGGCTGTGCTTGTGTTACCACTAACCTAAAAGTGGTCCTCTCGGGCTTCAGTTTTTAGGATCATCAATGAAGTGTTCAGGATAACTTTGTATCAAACCCCGTATAGGAAACAATTAGCAGCATGCAAGTGTAACCTATCCGGAAGCAAAATTTGACAGTTATCAAATATGAAATGCAATAGATTTTTATTTAAAGTGCGCTCAGTAAGAGAAAAATGCACACTGCAAAATTTTCTCCAAATTCCAATTACTTGAATTTATATGCCCAAGAGACTATAACTTGCGCGCCACAGTTTGCCTCCTGGGCATTACCTAGGCGGTATATAAAGCCCAGAAATCGCAGGCTTTTCTACAGTCAACGCAACTCTGACATTCGTTAGATTGTTTTTCTCAGCTGATACAAACATGGACATGGAATCGGTCTTTGAAAAGTTTCTTCGAGATGAGGAGCCTTTTGCTTACCAGAAAGTCACCCCACCAGCACCGCCGATTTGTGAAAAATGCGTTCTATCAAGTAAGAAGAAAAAACCGACTGAAACGGCGTTCCTTAAAAATATGAAACGCCTGATGAAGAGTGGCGAGCACAGCGATTTCACAATCATCATTGGGGACGCTGAAATACCGGTTCACAAATGCATTCTCTCCATTCACTCTGAAGTGTTTTCAACCATGCTCCGTCAAAGTAACACCGTTGAAGTGCTAGAAAGTAAAGTCAACATTACCGATGTTTCACTCGAAGTCTTCACCGATCTTCTGCAGTTCATGTATACCGGAGTGAAGCCTGCTAAAGATCACTTGACGGAGGAGCTTCTAATTGCAGCTGACAAGGTAAGACCTGGTATTTAGAGAGTTTTTCGCATATTTAAACTTTCCTTTTTTATAACCAGTATCAGGTTGAAGAGCTGAAGACAGTCTGTGAAGAGAACCTAATGTCGCAGGTTTCAGTGGCGAACGTGATCTACATCTTTCAAATAGCAGACATGGTGAGCGCTCCTCTGCTGAAGGCAAGCTGCCTCGAGTTGATCGTCGACAACTTTAAACAACTGGTGTCCACTGCAGAATGGGAGAAACTGGGCAAAACTCACTACGAGCTGATGGTGGAAGTCTTCAGAGCCCTTCCAAAGTAGCATCATCTCCAAACTGATTTGCAGTGCACATTCTCTACTTCATCATTTGCTTACTTCTCTCTCGGTAATGCAGTGTTTTCGATACGCTTGCATAACTGTTTTTTTATTACGCCAAAGTTATTGCACAACAGAAGTTTGTGTTGCCCAATTTGTAAAATCGTTCAGGTTTTGAGTTTAATGAGTTAATAAAAAATCGTCTTGCTTCGTCAATTTGGGATAGAGTTTTCCCTCTGATTTTATTTTCTGAACAAAAACTCGCTGCTAATCTACTCTTTATTTTCGTGACACAAAAATTGGCATTGAGCATCGCTTGAGCTACTCTACTGCTGGATCACTTGAAAGGCTCCACCCTCCACACCGTTTCGCTGAGTTGTCTTTTTGTGAGACTGTTCAGCGAAACGTTGTTTTGATTTTGATTTCGCCGTTTGTCACTTGAAAATAGTGCCGCTATCGTAAATTGGCTCACATTTGGTTGCTCTGGTGCTGCTGCTGCTGTTACTCTGATGAAGCAGGTGCAGCAGTGATAAGCAGAGCAGATACCGAGTAATCGGCCGTGTCTCGGATGCATGACAGTACAGTACTCTGCCAGTGTTTCCCTTTGAAGCCACTCACCTGTGATTTGCACCGGCATGTAAGTCCGTTTTCATGTTCACGCTGTTGTTGTTGTTTCCATTTTCAAAAATTCGACTTGTACGCCACACACACACACACACACACACACACACACACACACACACACACACACACACACACACACACACACACACACACACACACACACACACACACACACACACACACACACACACACACACACACACACACACACACACACACACACACACACACACACACACACACACACACACACACACACACACACACACACACACACACACACACACACACACACACACACACACACACACACACACACACACACACACACACACACACACACACACACACACACACACACACACACACACACACACACACACACACACACACACACACACACACACACACACACACACACACACACACACACACACACACACACACACACACACACACACACACACACACACACACACACACACACACACACACACACACACACACACACACACACACACACACACACACACACACACACACACACACACACACACACACACACACACACACACACACACACACACACACGCTGCTTTCTTTTCACGCTTTCAGCTATGAGCTATGTAGTTGTACGTGTCGCTTACTAGCAGACCATTTGGCATTTGATGCGACTGCTTTCTATTACACCTGAAGTCAGGTGAAGCTTAATTGGCCGTTTCATGCTTGTCAGAAGTTGGCACGCCGCCAAATGAACTCCCTCAACTGCTGTGTAATGTCCTGTCTATCGCTTCTCTGTGGCTTCATCCTCCTGGGCATCCTCCTCGAAGGCGGCCAAACGATATGGCACAGCAGCCGCAAAGACCGCGGCTTCTACAAGTCACTGTACGAGGCGAAGTTGTCCATGCAGCAGTCGCTAAAGTTTATCAACCAGGCAAATGCCTCTATCGTCTACTCGCCACAGCTGGAGAGCTTCTACGAGTTCACCAATTGGAAGCGCTTTCCCGAGTCAACTTACAGGGGAGAACGGGAGGGCGACTACGGTGAGGTGAACGAGTACCGAACTAATACCCGTTTCATCAACGCCAAGGAAGGCTTCAACACCATCTTCAATCGAGCCCTCTCGCTGGACCGCATCGTGCCGGACTACCGACCAAAAGGATGCAAGCACTGGCACTACAAACCCGGCATTCTCCCCAAGGTGTCAGTCATCATCGCCCTCACCGCCGAACATGAACTCATTCTGGCGCGAACAATCACCTCAATCCTTCTCACCACTCCTCGTGACCTGCTGAAGGAAATCATTCTAGTGTACCACCGAGCTGAGGATAAAGGACATTCGCCGGCCATCACTAAAAATGAGATCATGAAAAAACTTCGTGACATCATACTCACAGAGAATGCCAAGCTTCTAGCCCACTTTGATAATGTCACCATTGCACAGATGCCGTTCATGTTCGGAGAGGTTTTCAGTGACTCCTTGATAAGAGTCCTCTTCACCGGCAAGTCCATCGGTTTAGGGGCAAGTTTGAACATGGGCGCCAGCGAAGCCACCGGTGATGTGTTTGTCTTTCTCAAATCACGCATTGAACTGCACCACAATTGGCTGCAGCCGCTGTTGGCGCCCATTGTGGACGACTACCGCACGGTCAGCATTCCCGGCATGCTGGCCATTCTCCCGTCCAGCTTCAAGTTTGAGCAACCCTACAATGACGACTTTCTGCTGACCTTTTGGAACTGGGGCCTGCAGACGCAGCACTACGAGATGGACATTATGGAGAACAAGTCAAACACAGAGAAGTACGAGCACATTCAGGCGCTCCCCTATCAGCTCGATCTAGTCACAAGTTCGCAGTTTGCCATTTCGAAGAAGTTCTTTGAGCAGCTAGGCTCCTTTGACCCACACTACCTCATTCTGGAAGAAGTAAACCTCGACCTGTCTTTTAAGGTGCGCACATTTGGTGGTCGAGTGATGACGACTCGCTGCTCGAACGTTTTCACCCTTCAAAAGACAACCGGGCCGGATCCCATCACTGCCATCTTCGATGAGGTCTACATTGCCAACAACTATACCTTTGAGCCGAAGTGCTTTCTCAAGACACTGGCCAACAGATGGATCGGCAATGAAGGAGGGGAAGAAGAAGGAGGAGGAGTTGACGGCCTGAACTACTTTCACCTCATTCACCCTACACTGACTGACCAGTTCTGCAGTGGCATCAACAACCGATACGATGACGAACACTTAAAGACGGCCCTGGTGGAGGTGAACAGCACCGAGGAGGTCAGTGGACCGGCGAATTGGCTGGGCAACTTTCAGTACCGCATCATCGAGGGCAACCTGATGCAGTCCGTGCAGACGGACTCCTTTCTGGCGACCCTGCCAGCGGAGAATGACTACACTGGCTTCCTGAGAAATGCCGCCTTCTCGGTGTGCCTCCACGTGGAGGGCGACAAGGTGGAGACGGCCTACTGTCGAGAGACGCCCACTGCCGCGGTGCTCCGCCTGGACAGCAGTGGAGCACTTCGATTCGGTAGCGTCTGCTTCAGAAGGGCGGAGAAGAAGGTGAAGGAGCAAGTGGAGCAGATCTACAGTCTGGAGAGTGTCAGCTGCTTCTTCGACCTGCCCTTGGAGGCCCAAGGTTGGCAGTACGTTCTGCAGGGTGGGAGGATGCGCTATCTGAACAGTTACTGTCTGTCATATCGAGATGCCATTGGCATTGTGCTTGCCCAATGCTCAGAGGATGACGATGACGTCAGTCAGCAGTGGGAGTGGACGCTGCTGAAGTATTCATTATGAAGTTGTTGTTGACTCGTTGTTGCTTTGTTTTGTTATTGCTGCTGTTTTGTTTTGTCATTCTTAAATTAAAACTGTGTTCAGTAGTTTTGTATCATTTGTGCAGGCTAGAAAGATGTTCTCTCTGCAGAGGTTACCGCTCATTTGTGCAGTTGTCTGCGCTTCTCTGCTGATCATCTCACCGGTCGCACACTCACAGTCGCCCAAAACCAGTGTCGAAGAGGAAGTGTACGGCGTAAAGTACGCGTCAGACTGTGAAGGTAAGGAGATGACGGCGTTTTTGTTCAAGCTCAACAAACAACTGACAATTTCTTTTTTCTTACAGTCTGCAAACTGCTGGTCACCGAACTGGAGAATAAGCTGCAGGACACGGGCAAATCGCATGATGTAATCGAGACTGGGTACACCTTTGACAGTGACAAGCGCTCCAAGAAGAAGTACTCCATTTCGTAAATTTAACTTCTGCTGACTGAAGGTTGACATTTTAGTAATCTGAGCTTTCTTTTCTGCCCACAACAGTGAACTGCGACTGATTGAATCAATGGAGGCCGTTTGCGATGAGCTTCTCAGTTACAACGTCCACAAGGAACGCACTGACAGTACCCGTTTTGCCAAGGGAATGAGCACCACCTTCAAGACGCTGCACGGTCTAGTCGATAAGGGCGTCAAAGTGGATCTGGGCATTCCACAGGAGCTCTGGGACAAACCCTCTGCAGAGGTGTCCTTTCTGAAGACACAGGTACACCAGGTCTGGATTTAAAATGAGCAACACTAACCAGTTGTTTGTCCACTGCAGTGCGAAAAGATGATTGAACAGCACGAATCGGCTATTGAAGAGTGGTACTTTAATCACCAGGAGGAGCAGAATCTAGGCAAGTACCTTTGTGAGGATCGTGTTCTGAGAAAAGGAGATGCAGGCTGTCTGCTGGAAAAGCTGGGTACTCAGCCAATTGAAAAAGAAACCAACAAGAAAAAGACTGAACTTTGAAATAGCAACTTTGCATTTGAAATGACTTTTGTGTAAACTATCTACAAATCTACAAATGAAACTCAACAACAAATGATAAAGGATGAGAATGAACATGAAAAACAGAGATAGAGTTAAATTGGTCAACAAGTGGTGGTGGTAGTGTTCAGTGATCAGTAGTTCACCTTCCAAAACTGGGGCAGATTTCCCGTCCTCTTCTGCCAGAAGTAATCGTACGTCACCTTGGCCAGCAAAAAGACAATGCCAAAGGCGAGAATGCCGTTGACAATGTCAAAGATCTCCACGGAGGCTATTGACGGACAGAGCTCGAGGTTGTTGATCTTCAGTATTTCCCGATTGTACAACTGGCCCTGTCTGCTGGCTATTGCCTGCTGCAGCTGTTGCGGCTGTGGTTGTTGTTGCTGTTGCTGCTGCTGCAACTGTTGTCCGCTGGACTCATTGACTCTCATCAGCTCTTCGCGGACAAAGCCACAGCGGACGTTGGCCAGGTCGTGAATGATGCGGTAGTTGCTCTGCAGCCACTTTTGCATCTTCACGGTGTTGCAGTCGCAGCTGTACGGATTGTTGCCGATGAGAATTTTGTCGATGCGACTGGAGAGCACCTTCTCGCGGTCCAGTATGTGGTAGGGAATCTCCGTCAGCAGGTTGCCGCTGATGTCTAGGTAGACGATGGTCCAGTTGGAGTGAATCTGGTCGAGTCCGTCCAGCGTTTCCAGCGAGTTGTTCTGCAGGATGATCTTGTTGACGTGCTCCCAGTGGGACAGCTTCACACGGCCACTGTTCAGGCGGCGAATTTGATTGTTGCTCAGGTCGATCACCTTGGCGTTCTTTGGCAGCCGTTCGGGCATGGCTCTCAGCGCCTTGTCGGTGCAGTTGACGATGACGTAGCGGTAGCCATTCTTGGCGTACTTTGGCTCGAGGAAGCAGTCGCACTTTTTGCAAATTTCCGTCACCCTGATGGACTGCCACACTGAGAAGGGAAAGAGCGTTGCCTCCGGTGGGTGGTTGCACTCGGGCTCATCCGTTTGCGCCAGCTCCAGTCCGTGTACGTTGCTGAAGAGGTGGCCATTTGCCTCGACGATGGCCGCTATGGCGCTCACCAGCCACTCCAGATGATGGTCACATCGCCAGGGATTGTTGGCAAACTTTAGCGGCAGTCTAGGCGCACCTCCTCTCTGCTGCTGCTGTTGCTGTGCTGGTTGTTGTGGCCGTTGAAGACTCGTTAGCAGGTCAATCACCCCTGTGGAAAGATCACTTTGGTGCAACGTGGAGAGGCTGTTGGAGGAGAGATCTAGGCGAGCCAGCGACTGCAGACTGCTCAGGTTGACCGTGACCAGTCGGTTGTGGCTCAAATCGAGGCTCACTAGTTGTTGAGTGCTCGATTCAAGCGGAAGCACTTCGGCAGCGTGAAAGCTGACCAGACGGTTGGACGTTAGATTGAGCGATTTGAGGTGCACCAGATTGACGAGTGCCCGAGGGGCCAGCTCCTCCAGTGAGCTGTTGCGGATCGTCAGCGACTCGAGGTGGACGTTGTTGGTCGACGAGTGGGCGGCCAGTTGACTGATAAGGTCAATCGCCGAGTGGACGATGCTCGGCTTGAGTACGTGGACGAGGTCAAAACGAAGCACCTTCAGGGAAGCACCACTGTCGGAGTGTTGGCTGCAGGCCTCCAGTTTGTTGTTGGTTTGATTGCGCAGAAAGCTAGTGCTGTTCAGGGCCTTGGTGAAGTTGCTCAGTGCCTGGTCGCTCTCTAGGTCGTAACATCGAAGCCACAGCTGTGCCACTGCTGCTGCTGATCCTGTTGCCTGTTGACCACCGTTGCCACCGGTGACTAGTGAAGGAGCACAGCGAGCATTGAAGAAGCACCGACAGTTGCTGAAACCGCTGCTGATAGAAGTCGCAGAGGAAGGTGGCAACCAAATGCGTGACCAGAGGTGTTCCAGTTCTCTTGGGTTGTCCTCCCAGATGGTGAGAAACTCATCGAGACAAGTCCATTCGGCAAAGAGAAAGCCATCCTCACTCAGCTCGGTGTCAGCGAGAATGTCCTGTGAAATGTTAAAGTGATGTCCTGATGATGCCGATGATGATGATGATGTTGATTGTGCAGAACCACTGTCCTTTGAGGATACCTGGGTCTCTGCTGCAGGTTTCTCCTGTGTTGACCTTTGAGTGTCTTGGAAAGCAGTTGTGTAGTGGGAAAGTGGAAGCACCAGAGTGCTGAAGAGGATCACCTTGAGAAGCGCCGAGATGACCCTTTTGAGTGGCCTTTTCGACGGCATGTTTTGATTGAAGGGCTGTCCTTTGAATTGAGATCTCCTAGGTTAGATCTGTTGCATCTTCGGGTGAGTGGCTGCTGGTGGTGGTGGTTGTGCACTGCCGTGCTGATGCCGAATCACCTGGTGCAGAAGTGCTCAGTGCTCAGTTCAGTGCATCTTGTCGTAAGGATGTAAGAAATGCTGCCGCTGCAGCTGCTGCTACTGTTGCTGATTTCGCTGTTGCTGGTGATGGTGGTAGTGGTGGTGGTAGCAGCTCAACAGTGCTCGCTGTAAATGAGCAAGTTGGTCTCTGCAGACACTGTGACAACACACTGCATGAGATGTTTCCATATCTCGCCTATACACTGAACTCTCTGTGTACAGCGGCCACACACACAGCTGCCATTAATTAACGCAGTACGCTTAGGCAAATCGATTTGAAGTGCACAGCAGCAGCAGCAGGGAAAGAAGTGTAAACAACAGTGAGCAGTTGCTGGCCTGTTGTTACAGTGATTTCTTTATTTTTCTGGATCAGTAGCACTCTTGCTATCAATTTAAATATTGTTTTTTTCAATTTTAATTTTTTTACTGTTTTTTTGGAACCATTTCGGAAGTTGTGACAAACCCAAAAAATAGATTAGCAAAGTTGATTCAATATAATTGAAGTATAATCAGCTCAAAATGTTCAATTTCTACAAAAAATGTTCAAAAACATTAATTATTTTACCGGAAATGGTCTTAGTGGCATTTGGGACCCTTCCGGAAGTAGTATCGTACCGGAAAACACCAAAAAATTTCCTGGCAACGGTGAGATTCGAACTCACGCCTTCGAAAAGACTGGTGCCTTAAACCAGCGCCTTAGACCGCTCGGCCACGTTACCGCTCATTCATACTACAGCGAAGCAAGAAAACCTTTTTAAATCGATTTTTTTCTTGAAAAGTTAGCTTTCCTGAGAAATGTATTGGCAGAAAAAGATCGCCTCCAGTAGTTTAAATCAGATTTCGATAAATGGCGTTTGTAAAATCTTCGCATGCCTCAATGAAAATAGTGATCAAAAACAAAAACTTCTAAAAAATGACTGATTTTTTTTCATTCAGTTTTCAGCGGCGCCATCTAACAAATTCTGTCTTGAGCTGTTGGAGCAATCTTCTCCAGCTAACAGATTACAGATCGATAAGAGCGTGACAACGGCAATTAAAAGGTGGAGCCTATCGTATAGAAGTGTACGATCAACATCGAAAAACTCCACCTTTTTGTTTCTACTTTGAACTTCCCGGGAGCTCCATCTAGCACGTACTCTGCGAGTGCAGCTGCTGCAGACTGCAGCAGCCTCGTCAGCTGGACAGTAAACATTGATGTCATCACCAGTTGAGCGACTTGGCACTTGAAATAAAGAGGCTGTGATCTTCTTGCGCCGCCGAACCACTTCAAATTATCGGATGTGCAACTTCCGGTAGAAGCAGTGAAGAACTAGAGCACCTCGCCCATTACTAGTGAGATTTCCCCTTTGTACAATGGAGTTCATTAAGAGTGGCTGGAAGACGGTCGTCGGCGCTCCAACTGACGGCGACGATGACAGCAATCAGCAGCAAAATGTCGCCGAAACGGTAATGTTCCTCATTCAGTTAAGATTGTAGAAAACTTTAAGCTAAAAGTTGCACTTCACTTTGACAGGTGGAGAAGCTCGTGGAGAGGGTAGAAACGTCGACGCTACTTGAAGACCGTCGCGATGCCTGCCGGGCGATTCGCTCTCTTTCCAAGACATATCGCCTTGAAGTCGGTGCTCAAGCGATGGACGCTCTGATGTTTGTCCTGCAAAATGACTCGAGTGACAGTGAAATAGTCACCTACGCTTTGGACTCCTTGCTCAACGTCATCGGCAACGAAGACGGCCCAGAAGGTGCGCCACTCAGCCCCGGCAGTCTTGATCTGTGCGTGCAATTCACCGAAATCTTCATCAAGCGAAAGGAAAATGTTCAGCTTGTCCTTGATCTTCTGCCGGAGTTTGATTTCAAAATTCGCTTTCCGTCAATCAAACTGCTTCATGCACTGTTGAAGAATAAGCTTCGAGAGTGTCAGGACTGCATTCTTACACATCCAATGGGCATCTCCCGAATGATGGACCTTCTTCTCGATCCTCGAGAAGTCATTCGAAACGATGCACTGCTATTGTTGGTGTTTCTAACTAAAAGCAACGCAAACATTCAGAAGATTGTCGCTTTTGAGAATGCATTTGACCGCATTCTGGAAATCGTCTCAAATGAAGGCTACAGTGATGGCGGAGTTGTCGTAGAGGACTGCCTATCTATTTTACTCAACCTTCTCAAGATGAACACCTCTAATCAGAATTACTTCAAAGAGGGAAACTACATTCAGCGGTTACTACCCTTCTTCGACATTCCATTCGACGTTACTTGGAATCCTCAAAAAATCAGCAATATTCTTCTAATGTTTAAAGTCATTCGCGGTCTCGTTTCACCGAGCAATCCACTACAAGTGACTAATTCCTGTCAAAAAGTGATGAACCAAAGTGGAGTCCTCCAGAAGCTGTGCACCATTCTCCTGTCGAATGGAATTCCGGCTGAAATTCTTACAGAGGTTTGAACTTATTGAACTGTTTTTTGTGCTTTTATTTACACCTTTTTTTAAACTTTTAACTTGTAGACAATAAACTGCGTCGCCGAGGTGATTCGAGGAAATCAACAAAATCAAGAGTATTTCAGTCGCGTGAATGCGCCCATTGAGCCACCAAGACCGGTGATTGTCATTCTGCTAATGTCGATGATCAACGAGAAGCAGCCGTTCGAGTTGAGATGTGCCGTACTGTACTGCTTTCAGTCCTTTCTCTACAAAAACGAGCTCGGTCAAGCGCAAATAGTGGAGACACTTTTGCCCTCAACTAGCGATGGTATGTTGTCAAATATAAACAGGAAAGTGAACTTGGAGTTAACCCTCTTTCCCTTTTCAGCCATACTCGACGTGTCTGCTGGCCAGCTGCTGTGCAGTGGCTTCTTCAGCAACGACATTCTTTCCAACTGGTTCGTCGCTGTGGCGCTATCGCACACCCTAGTGCACAACGTCACCCAGAAGGAGCAACTGCTGAGAGTGCAGCTGGCCACTGATGGCAACAACCCGCCCACCTCGCTCTTGGCCTTCTGCTCGAGTCAGCTGCAGAAGGGCGGCCACCACCAGCGCCGCATCAGTCTGCTGATGCTGCTCGCCATGTGGCTCTCCAACTCAGCCGTGGCAGTGTCCAACTTTCTCTCCATTCCAACGAACATTCCCTATCTGACGTCGCAGGTGGGCCTGGTCGAGGGTGACGATGTGGAGGTGCTGCTGCAAGGGCTCTGCGCCTTCCTCCTTGGCATTTGCATCTGCTACAATGACAACTCTGTTCCCAGTTTTACCAAGTAAGCTTTTATGTACTAGGTTTTCGGCCCTTCTAACTTGTCCTTTTAGGGATGACTTGTGCAAGCTCATTCAAAATCGAATTGGCGTCGACGTTTTCACCGAAAAGCTGGCGTCCATTGCAAAGAATGAAAAGTACAGCCACGCACTGCAGAAGCCCTATCTGGATCACTTTGTGAAGAACAATGACATCATCTTTGACTTTGAGTTTTGCAATCTCTTTAAGCTTCAGGAGGCGAACATACTGAAAGTTGTTCACCCTTCCAGCGACAGTGGCCATGGCGGTCCAGAGTCCAACCTTACCAGTGAAGACCACAAGTTGCTGGTGCAGTACAAGGAACTGATTCGCGAGCAGGACATTCAGCTGGTGTCAATGCGTAAGCACCTGGTCTCCCTGCAGACGGAAAATGACTCTATGAAGGCTCAATTGGTCGAGCGACAGTCTGTTGAGCAGCAACTTCGTGATCAGATTGCCCTGCTTAAGGTGCAGAAGTCAGTTGGACAGCAACAGCAACAGCAGCAGTACGAGCAGTATCAGCAGCAGCAGGCCAACAACTACCAACAGCAACCATCTAGTCAGTACGGCGACAGTGCCTCGACGATGCCTTCCCCCTACCCCAATCATCCTCAGCAGTCGACAGTATTACCCGCCAGTGTCGATCAAGGTGTGCCTGTGGTGGACCCTGCGAGCAACAGCAATGAACACCTCCTTCGCCAGCACATTGACCAACTGAGCTACGAGCTTAACGTGCGAGACCAGAATCTTCAGCATCTGGTAAGACTGCTGAATTGTGATGATTGAGTAAAGGTACTTTGTGCGCTAAACTTTTTTATTCTCTCAGACTCATCAACTAAATTCTATGCGTCTCGGTGAGCCTTCTGGTTCGCTGGCAGGCGTCGGCAATCAAAGCGTCAACGGTGAGACGCAGTCTGTGGCCTCAGTGGACGCTGCACAGTACGACTATCTAATCAATGAGAACCGCCGATTGCTGGGCATCATTGACCAGTACAAATACTGGGAGAGCACCTACGCTGCTGCCTATGCTAATGCGACTGCAGCTGCTGCTGCGGCCAACAACAACACCAACAACAATAGCACCAGTGCCCAGGAAGTAGCAGGCACTGTTAATGGAGGAGGGCTGCCCAACGGAATCGACGGCCAATTTCCGGAGCAACATCCTGCTTGTGCTGGTGGGCAAACACAGACTGCTGGAGTGCAGTGCGCAGCGGAAACTGTGAACTCTGGTGAAGAGGTGACTCGACTGCGAAGTGAATTGGAGAACATTCGCAAAGAGCACGATGACCTGACCAGTGTGCTCGCCGATCAGAACATGAAGATGCAGCAGTATGAGCAGCAGCTCAAGGATGATTCGGCTCAACGTGTAAGTAGATGTCGAGTTTAGCTTTCTATTTATTGACAGCTGATTGCGCAAGTGCTTGTCATGCAGTGTTTGTCTTTTTATTTGTCCACGAATTGTTATTGCGCTTTGGGCGAGAGTGAAAGAGAACGCTTGTCTTTTCTCTCACTACATGCTGGCAATTTATCATTTGTGGAGCCATCAATTATTCAAACTGGGGAAGATACATTATTTATAGTATTATTGTAGTGAGCACACATGCACGACGACTACACTAGTGCCGGTAGTTTGCAGCTAAATTGCCACTGTTGGCGCGAGCGCACTTCTTTTCAGCACTAAAACGTTAAGATTTCGAGTTCTCAGTTTACCTTGATGGCTTCATGAGCAGCTATTGATTCGAGCCACTCGAACTCAGTGCCTGGGTGAACTCATTTTCAAATACACTTTTTCTCTTCTGTTACCTACTTACCGGTTCATAACTGTACCTTTACTATTTTTCACAACAAAGGTCAACCATGAAGAGGAGAGTACCGCCATCCAGTCATTGGAGTCATTGCAGTTGTCTTCTCAGCAAACAGTGGCGGCAGCAGTAGACCCAGCTCAATCGATCTGCCTTCCCTCCACATCGCACTTGACGCACTCTTACCCCGAGTCTTATCTTCAGCAACTGCACCAACATTACCAACAGCAGCAGCAGCAGCAGTCGACACTACTGTCAACACTGAACAGTGACGGGAGCACGACAGCGACAGTAGCTTTCGACGGGCAAACGGCATACCTTCAGCAGCCTTCTGCACCCCTTCAGACGGCACTAGACCCGTGATAAACTAAATGGAGGAAGAGAATGTGTGTGTGTGTGTCGGTGTGGCGCAAATCGATTGGCAGCACAGTTTTGCCCTGCCTTCGCCTCCTCCACGCCATCCCACCTCCACTGTTTCTGTTGAAGCACTATTTTATTTATTTGTTTGTTTCACATTTTTATATTCTATGATAGATGACTGTACCACTACCACCTAGTGCATGCACGTTTTTCTTTTCAAATTATTATTTGTCTCTTATTGTTTTGTATCATTTGTTGAAACCTTTATTTTACAGTTATTGCTTGATTTACACACACAAACAAACACACACAGCACCACTCTATATAATACGATTTATCTTCATCTTCAGTGCAAACAAACCATGTCTTCACTGTCACCATGTCTACTTTTTGGCTGACCTTTTATTCTCTTTTTTATTTATTCTTTGCATGTCCAAAGTAAAAAACGGTTTTCACTTTTTTCTCCATACAATGACCGTACTGCTGCTGCTGGGGCGGATACATAATGGCACTTTTGAAGTGCTCTGTGTTTTGCGTACATTGCTGTTTCTTTAAAAAGTGGCTTAAAAAAGTATAGTGCAAAGTGGGAAAGAAAGAGAGGGTGACGACTTCTCTGGCACTAGAGCAAACGGCACCATCATCATCTGCTTTGAATGAGGCTAATCCAATTAGACGGCCTGCCCCGTCGCCAGCTGCAGGGTAATTGCATTTGGGTGCGCAAGGTTTTACACCATTGCTGGCAAAACTTCCATTTGCCCGTTTTAATTCGCTTCCTTCTCTTTTCCTTCTCTTTTGCATAACTGCTGTTCGCTTTGCTGCAAAGCTTTTGTGAGTAGCTTGAGGTTCGGCTGGCTTGCTGAATGAAGGCGCCTACGCTTCTTGCAAAACAGAGACATCTGCAAACACAACAGTCTGATTGTTATTTTAATTATTTTTGCGTTTTAAAAAAGTAAGAAAAACGGCAAAAAGAACTATAAAAAATTATAAAATAACTCTATTTCATTGTCGCTGCCGAGTTGGAGGATTAGCACGACCATTTGATGAGTGCTGGGCGAAAATTTGAAAAGGTCTAGTTAGGTAGAGGTGCGTAGTCTTTTCCTTTTCAATAACCTTTCAAGTTAAATTAATACTGGAATTGTTATCAGCAGAAAAGTGTGCTGTAATCAGCATTTTTATTGGGTAGCCTGATGCCATTTCTTTATTACTATGCGTGAAGTGTGGTCGTGGTAGGCGAATCAGTGCCTTGTGGGCAAATGGCACACACTCACACCATTACTCGTTCTCCGTCAGTCGATTCTGGTTTCTCCAGGCGTACAGTACTTAATGGTACTTACACTTGTACGGGCTTGAACAGACATGTGCACACGTCTCGATACATTTCTCGAGTTGCAGAGTAAATGCAATTAGAAGACGTGTGCTATGGACTGGCTGTCAATTGCTTGACTGACTTGCATTGCGTTATGTCCATTGATTAAAAAAGTGGTTGTGAGAGAAAATGTGAAGATGAAGTAGATCACTATTTCATATTTTTCTTTTTTTCCGGCTGTCAATTGCCTTCTTGGGATATAGACCGACCGTTTGTGGTAAACTTCTTCTCACTGCCTCTGCGCATTGACTTTGTCTGCTCTTTACGACTTTTTTCTTTTTCTTTGTTGGTCGTTTCTTTTTCCTTGCTTTGTTTTAGTGAGTACCCAGCAGGCAAGTGAAATTAGCCGTATAATGATGGCAATAAATTAGGCACCAAACTGACTGCTATGCTTTACTTGATGGCCAGTGAAGTGAGTCTGGGTAAATAAGTGAGCATCATTAAAGACTGCCTCAACTGACGACCATTAAAGTCCCCACTGAATCAGTTCATCATTGATGCTGCACCTAGTGCAAAGCAATGCCAACTCATCGTTAGTTTTGTTTAGTTTTCAGGAAAGCACAGAAATGCTCTGTTTTGTTTGCCCAAGCCTAAAATCTCTCCCTCTTTTTAAATGTCACCACCAGCTCTTTTCCCTTGTTCACGGTCATCTTCACCGCCAATGTCCAGTTCCCTTGGCTGCCACTTATTCAATTGATTCCTCTTTTTTTGCTGGAACACTGGTGCTGCCGGATTGCACATTAGTTGTCAGTTGTTGACTACCGCTTCTGATGCTTTGTACTACCCACGCCACCGACGCCGCATCAACTACTATTTGCTTGTCTCAGCTTTTCCCACTGGGAGCAAACTAGTGCTGGCTAGTGCCTGGCCATGGCCATCGCCGATAGCACCGCTGGCACTTTTGATGCAACCAACACAACAACGGTATATAGTCAGCGCAGACGGGACACACACAATGTTACACAGCAGCTGCATGAACATCACAAATAAACGTGAAATGCCACAGCCGCTGATGAGCACCGTGTTTTTCCCAGTAAACACTTGTTCTCTGCTGCAAGAAAAGCTGAAAACTTTTTGGTAGCCCTCGTTTCCGGTGCTGACAATCCTAATATTTCTTTTTTCTTGAAGTAAAATAATCTAAACTGAATAGAAGGAAGGAACAAAATTGAATAGGAGGGTTCTGCGTTTTTTTCTAGTCAGTCTGTCTGTCTGTCTTCCACAACTGCATCATCACTCAACAACACTTGTATCGTGCCAATGTCGTCCATTTGTCTATTGTGCTAGATACGCCATTACTGAAAAAGAGAAAAAAGTGAAAAAGAGTTCTATTTGGTTATGCGGTAATTTGTCTGCCAATTGGCTTGCTTCTTTCTGCACTGACAAAAAAGAAATTGTGTGTTTGCCAGACTGTCTATCATCATCATCATCTCCATCTTTTTCCTTGCTGTTTGCTTCCCTCTATTTGGCATTTGTCGTTATCGTTGTCGTTATTTGCCATTTGCCATTTACGTGATTCAATTAATGCCTAGCATGACTCGAGCAATGTTTGTGTCGCGTTTTTGTTGACAGAGGCAAATCAACATCCGCCGAGGCAGTGGCACGAAATTCAAGGAGCGCTCCAACAACGGCAGTCTATCAGGCGCTACAGCACCCGCACACTGTGCACATTGCTAGACACTTTCTTTAACGACCCCCTTTACCCTTGATCTACTTTAGTTTCTATTTCATATTTTTTCTAAGTTTGCCCGTTTTTGTTTTTATTTTTTCCTTTTCTGAAGCTATAATGCTACACTGCTGCCGTCATTAACGGCCAGATTTGAGCTCTTTTCTTAGATGTGTGAAATGGCCGAAAGAGTAGATGAACACAGATGGTACCCCACTAAAGTTGTGGAAGAGTAGGAAGGATGGAAAGGAATGAAGAGAAGCGACTGCCTGCCTTGTTTGAGATTTATTGTATTGTTGAACACTTTTAATGCCATGTTCGCCTGCGATCAGATCTGGTGCAGTTTGCGCCATTGGCGCTAGTGTGTGTTTGTGCCTGCCAAACTGCCACTGGCTGAATTAATTTCCGCTGTTCGGTGTGAGGGTAGTAGAGTATATAGAGGTTTTGACGACCAAAGATAGTGGCGGTGATGGTGGTGGTCCCTGCAGCGACCACCGAAGTACACGATGTCTCGCCTGCTCGTCCCCTGTAGCCATATGTCACACAATTTCGTAAGGGCCTAGCAGCCATAATCATAGCATTTGCAGCCGTCGTGCGTGTGTACCTCTCTTCCTTTCTGTCTCTCTGTGTTTGTAGTTGTTCAGTGCAGTAAGTGTTCCAGTGGCCTTTGCCTACTGCCCTTACTTCTCTTTTTGTCTGTCTGCCGTCACTATATAGTTTCCACCGGTGAAGGAATGGAATAGTGCCATCGAAAAAGTGGCTCTGCCGTTCTCTTATTTTTTCTCTTTTCCTTTTTGGCGCGCTTCAGCTAAACAGATCGGTCGACCTTTTGCTGTAGCCGCCGCCGCAGCAGCAGCTGCCACCACCACCACAGTACCATTGTACGACACTGTCTTCAGAGCCTGTCGTACAATGTCTTGGCGGTCTGAAGCGGACCGTACCGTACAGCTACACTAGACCGCACTAAAAGAGAGAAAGAAAGTGAGTTCAACGTCAGGAAAGGAAGGAAGACACAGTGGGCTGCTGACACAGTCACTGCTCGGCAGTCTTGCAAGCCTCTGTCTGTCTATTATCTCGCAGCAGGCCAAGAGGAGAAGACTCAGCAGTGGTCGTTCTCTGGGCGATCATCTCCTCGGGTAGCTGTACACTACTCTCTCTTTTCCTAATTTCCTATTTTCTTACCTTCTTTCTTGTTT